GGCGTGACGGCGAAATGCGTTTAATATCAGCGGGGGCTTAAAGTTCGCGAACACAGCCCCCCATCTCCCCCCACCCCTCCCCCCCCTCCACCCTTCCCCCATGGTATAAAAGGCAACGAGTGATGGAAATGCTTGCACTTACCCAAGAGGAGAGGGGGCGAGATGTTCCACTCTTCCTTACCTGCAAAGATGAAAAGAATTATTGTAAACTGACTGAGGCGGAGAGTGAAAATGTATACAAACAAAACAATTATCACTTCACGCCGAGGAATTAAGAGCTACATTCATTAACATGTGAAACACTAACACATTGGTTGTTCCCTAAGATATCAACCAAGTTTCACCCAAATTGATGACCTTATTCCTTGGGTAGTCATTAAAATATCTACCAAGTTTCATCACAACCCACCCACTCAATCCTTAACTGGCTCCTCGGGTGGGTGGGGTGGGTGGGGTGGGTGGGGTGGGGTGGGTGGGGTGTGGGTGGGGTAGGGTTAGTGGTGGGGTGGGTAGGTGGGTTGGTGAGGGGTGTGGGTGGGTGGGTTGGGTGGGGGTGAAAACTGCTTCCGGAGATGGCGTTAAGCGGGGCTGAGAAGAAGAAGAAGAAGAAGAAGAAGAAGAAGACCACTACTACCACCACTATTACAACTATTACCACCACTACTACAACTATTACACACCACCACCACCACCACCACACACCACTACTACAACTATTACCACCACCACCACCACCACTAATACCACCACACACCACAACACACCACATACCAACACCACTATACCACCACACACACACAACCCACCCACACACCACACACACCCCACTACACCACCCACCACCACCACCACTACTACCACCACTATTACCACCACCACCACCACTACTACCACCACCACCACTACTACCACCACCACCACCACTACCACCACTACCACACCACCACCACCACCACCACACACACCAATCCCGCCAAATTCTGTCATATTGTTTGTACGATCACACACACACACACACACACACACACACACAACCAAGTGGCTGGAGTTGGCTATCATCATCTGCTGTTATCACTACATAACGTGACCGCTATCGTAGCCAATAACAACACGACAATAACCCCATACGATATATCATAGAAAGAACAGGATAACAGTAGCGGCTGCCTAGAGAGAGAGAGAGAGAGAGAGAGAGAGAGAGAGAGAGAGAGAGAGAGAGAGAGATATCAATAGGTAACCCACAAACACCAATAAAACAAACACACATAAACACTAAATCACCCACAAACACAAACATGAAAAAACAAACACCACGTGACCTTAATATTTATAATACATTTGTGTCATCTTCTTCCTCATAGTCGTTGTTGTGGTTATTGGCAGGCGGTGATTGGTTGGCCGGTGTCTGCCTCGCCTCCGTTTATTGGCTGCCTCGCTCCTCCACAACTGCCCCACTTTATAGTTTTCAACCCAATGTGGGGTAGAGGGAGAAGGGTGCTTGTGTGGGTTTATTGCCGGGGTGGGATTGAGGCGTTTGAGTGCGTGTGTTGGAGGGGGAGGTGAAGGAGTGTATGTGTGTTTATACGTAATTACAACTAATACGAACCACTGAACCGAATCTCCGAGCTACTGGAACGAATCTCCGAACTTTTAGAACGAGTCCGAACTGCTGGAACGACTCTCCAAACTGCATCTCTTATCCACAGATGGCGCTGAAGTATCTCACTCACCGGGTTCGGTACAGTTCCGAACACGAGGCATAATGGAACGTTTGGCCGTTTCTGTACACGAAGATTATAAATTCACCTATACAGGGGAAAAAGTGTGAGGACTGTAGAGTATACTTGTGCTTGTATAATATGTAGAGTATGGAGGAGGTGGAGGGGTATATTCAAACAATAAATCAACTGCGATAAGGAGGAGCCAAATAAAGATAGATAAATGAAGTGCAGGAGGAATAGAGAGAAGAGGTGGTGTGAGTCTTAATGAAAGGAGACAGGTAGGTGAGGAGTAATTACTGTACCTGTACTTGTACCTGAATCTGTAACCTTTAAGAAGATAACAAGTAATGAAAAAAATATTGGAAAGCATAACATAAATTTGAAGAAAGAAAGATACAAGAAAAGGCGGAGAACGAAAGAGGAATTGAGGGAAGAAACAACAGAATGGACACCTGAGGGACCCCGGGGAGAAGATGTCCAATTAAGGTGTCCCTGGAGAGAGGTACAAGACGATGGCCACCTGTGCCACTTAACCTTGGGACTCACCAATACCCCTGAAGGAGGAGAAACTATCGCCCCTGGAGGAAGAAGAGGAGCCACTACCCCCTGAGGAGGAAGAAGAGGAGCCACTACCCCTGGGAGGGAGGAAGAAGAGGGAGCCACTAGCCTGAAGGAGAACCCATTTCCTGCAGGAGGAAGAAGAGAGCCACTACCCTGAAGGGGAGGAAGAAGAGAGCCACTACCCTGAAGGAGAGGAAGAAGAGGAGCCATCTACCCTGCAGGAGGAAGAGGAGCCACTAGCCTGAAGGAGGAAGAAGAGGACACTAGCCTGAAGGAGGAAGAAGAGGAGCCACTACCCTGAAGGAGGAAGAAGGAGCCACTAGCCTGGAAGGAAGAAGAAGAGGAGCCATCTACCCTGAAGGAGGAAGAAGAGGAGCCACTAGCCTGAAGGAGGAAGAAGAGGAGCCACTAGCCTGAAGGAGGAAGAAGAGGAGCCACTACCCTGAAGGAGGAAGAAGAGGAGCCACTACCCTGAAGGAGAGGTAATAGTCAGGGATAAGACAGGTGGCGGTGCGTTTATGTAAATGTTGACAGAGAGAGAGCCATCAGTAGCTGTCCACATCGTCTCTTATCTCTCTCCCTTCACTCCATCTCTCTCTATCTCTCTACCTTTTCTCTATCTCTGCCTCTCTCTCTCTCTCTCTTTTTTTCCCTCTTCTACCTCTCTTTCGGTTCTCTACAATTCGTCTCTCTTGCTGGTCATCATCCATCTCTCAATGTCTCTTCCGTAGAAAAGATGGATGATGATGACGATGAAGAGAAGAGAGAGAGAGAGAGAGAGAGAGAGAGAGAGAGAGAGAGAGAGAGAGAGAGAGAGATAAAAGAAATAAAGAGAATGGGGTGGAGAAGAAGAGAAGAGAAGGGGAGGAGGAGGAGATAAGTAGGAAAGGAAAGGAGAAAGAAAGGGAAGGAAGAGGGAGGGAGGGAGAAAGAAGGAAGGAAAGAGAGGGAAGGAAGGAGAGAGAAAAGACCCGATTACCCTAAAATACCTAAAAAAAATAAACATAATAAAAATGTTTGGAATAGGAAAAATAAATAACAATAAATAATAACAAAAATAATAACAATAACAATAAAGCCCTCATAATACAACACACTAGCCCTCATAATACAACACACAACCTCTAAACAAAATACACCCATAACACACACCAACAACACCACAGCCCATAATACAACACACTACACCCTCATAATACAACACACTACAGCCCTCATAATACAACACACTACAGCCCTCATAATACAACACACTACAAAACACACTCTATAATACAACACACAAACCTCATAATACAACACACTACACTATAAACAACACACAAAACACACAACACCTCATAATACAACACACTACAGCACTCATAATACAACACACTACAGCCCTCATAATACAACACACTACAGCACTCATAATACAACACACTACAGCCCTCATACAACACACTACAGCACTCATAATACAACACACTACAGCCCTCATAATACAACACACTACAGCACCTCATAATACAACACACTACAGCCCCTCATAATACAACACACTACAGCACCTCATAATACAACACACTACAGCCCCTCATAATACAACACACTACAGCACCTCATATACAACATACAATACAACATACTGGTGATCTATACTGCAAAATACACACTCATTACTGAAGCCTAAGTGAGTGTTCTGGCGACTATTAATTAGTTCGAGAGAGAGAGAGAGATCTTAATATACCCTTAATATACAACAGGTCTAATGTCGGGTGTGGTGTCGGGGAGGAGGAGGAGAGACAAGAGAGGAAGATGGAGGAGGAGTAGGAGGAGGAGGGGTGAGGAGCGACCTGAGGGTTCTTAGGTAGGTTAAAAAAGTAGGAGGAGGAGAGAGGGAGAAAAGAGGAGAAACTATGATAAAGTTCCCGGAAGGATGGCACGTCTCTCTCTCTCTCTCTCTCTCTCTCTGCCTCGCGTACGTGAAAAAAACTTGGTTCAGCCGGTTTATGGAGCAGGGGGAGGAGGAGGAGGAGGAGGGACAGAAGAGAGGGGAAATAATGTCGCGGGGAGAATAGGGGATAGGGAAGGAGGGACAGTGGGGAGAGGAAGAAAAAGAAGGTATTGGGTGGAGGAAGAGGTGTTGCGTTGAGGGGAGGTACAGTGGGGGTGGAGGGAAGGAGGGTAAGGAGGATGGATAAAGAGTGGGAGATAAGAAGTGGGGGGGAAAGGGGGGAGAATAAGGAGAGGGGAGGAGGTCAGGATTCGATAATAGTAAAGAAAAACAATAGTCAGAGAAGAGGAAAAAGAGAAACGTGGGTTAGAGGAGGTAACTACTCACTGTCTCTCTCTCACTCACACACACACACACACACACACACACACACACACACACACACACACACACACACACACACACACACGAACACACAGGCACACACACACACACAAAAAAGGGCATCATCTATCATTTTCGGTCTGGAAAATTGTGAGGCTGGAGGAAGTTCCGGGACGATCACATCCTCAACCATCAGGCCGCTTTATGGAGGCGTCCTGTGATATGTAAATTTTACCCAGGCGGCGCGAGGGACTGTTTACTACGTCATAGAAAAATGGGAAATCAGATAATATAAGAAAACTAGGAAAACTGTTTCTGTAGTGTGTGATGGTTCGCGAGACACGTGTACAAATATTCAAGATGGCACCGGGAGACACCATGTTGAGTGAACGTTGCTATTGGTTGGGATATAGAGGCGGGGACGGGGGGGATACGCGGCGGGGACGTGGGGGTGTTGACAAGGCGGGGACGTGTGGGGTGTTGACACAGGCGGGGACGTGTGGGGTGTTGAACAGAGGGGATGTGGGGTGTTGGACACAGGCGGGGACGTGTGGGTGTTGACACAGGAGGGGACGTGTGGGGTGTGGACACAGGCGGGGGGACGTGTGGGTGTGGACACAGGCGGGGACGTGGGTGTTGACACAGGAGGACGTGTGGAGGTGACACAGGCGGGGGGACGTGTGGGTGTTGATACAGGCGGGGACGTGTGGGGTGTTGACACAGGCGGACGTGGGGTGTTGGACGGTGTGGGTGTTGACACAGGCGGGGACGTGGACGGCGGGGGACGTGGGTGTTGACACAGGAGGGGACGTGTGGGGTGCTGGACAGGGGGACGTGGGTGTTGACACATGAGGATGGGGTGTTGGACACAGGAGGGGACGTGGGGTGTTGACACAGGCGGGGGACGTGGTGCTGACAAGGGGGGACGTGTGGGTGTTGACAGGCGGGGGACGTGTGGGGTGTTGGACAGGAGGGAGTGTGGGTGTTGACACAGGCGGGGACGTGTGGGTGTTGACACAGAGGGGACGTGTGGGGTGTTGACACAGGGGGGGACTGGGGGGACAGGCGGGGGACGTGTGGGTGTGACACAGGGGGACGGGGTGTGACGGCGGGGGACGTGGGGTGTTGACACAGAGGGGACGTGGGGTGTTGGACACAGGAGGGGGACGTGTGGGGAAGGACACAGGCGGGGGACGGGGTGGGGTAGGACAGGCGGGACGGGGTGTGGCACAGGCGGGGACGTGGGGTGGACTAGGGGGGACGTGTGGGGTGTTGACACAGGCGGGGACGTGTGTGGACACAGGGGGACGTGGGGACGCGGGGGACGTGGGGTGTTGACACAGGCGGGGACGTGTGGTGTTGACAGGAGGGGACGTGGGGTGTGACACAGGCGGGGGACGTGTGTTGAACAGGGGGGACGGCAGGGGGGACGTGTGGGTGTTGGACACAGGCGGGGGACGTGGTGTTGACACAGGCGGGGGACGTGTGGGGTGTTGACACAGGCGGGGACGTGTGGGGTGTTGACACAGGAGGGGGACGTGGGTGTTGACACAGGCGGGGACGTGTGGGGTGTGGACACAGGGAGGGGACGTGTGGTGTTGACACAGGAGGGGGACGTGTGGGTGTGGACACAGGTGGGGACGTGTGGGTGTTGACACAGGCGGGGACGGGGTGGAACAGGCGGGGGGTGTGGGTGCTGGGAGGAGGGGACGTGTGGGGTGTTGACACAGCGGGGACGTGTGGGGTGTTGACACAGGAGGGGACGGTGGGTGTTGACACAGGCGGGGACGTGGTGTTGGACACAGGAGGGGGGACGTGTGTGGGGTGTTGACACAGGGGGACGTGTGGGGTGTTGACACAGGCGGGGGACGTGTGGGGTGTTGGACACAGGCGGGGGACGTGTGGGGTGTTGACACAGGAGGGGACGTGTGGGGTGTTGACACAGGCGGGGGACGTGGGGTGTTCACAGGCAGACGTGTGGGGTGTTGACACAGGCGGGGGACGTGTGGGGTGTTGACACAGGAGGGACGGGGTGTTGACACAGGAGGGGGGACGTGTGTGTTGACACAGGAGGACGTGTGGGGTGTGGACACATGGGGGACGTGTGGGGTGTTGACACAGGCGGGGGACGTGTAGGGTGTTGACACAGGCGGGGGACGTGGGGTGTTACACAGGCGTGGGACGTAGGTGTTACACAGGAGGACGTAGGTGTTGACACAGGTGGGGACGTGTGGGTATTGACACAGCAGGACGTGTAGGGTGTTGACACAGGGGTGTGGGGTGTTGACACAGGCGGGGACGTGGTGTGGAACAGGAGGGGGACGTGTGGGGTGTGGACAGGGGACGTGGTGTTGACACAGGAGGGGACGTGGGTGCTGGACACAGGCGGGGACGGTGGGGTGTTGACACAGGCGGGGATGTGGGGTGTTGACACAGGCGGGGGGACGGGGTGTTGACAGGCGGGGACGTGTGGGGTGTTGACACAGGCGGGGGACGTGGGGTGTTGACATGAGGGGACGTGGTGTTGACAGGCGGGGGACGTGTGGGTGTTGACACAGGAGGGGACGGGGGTGGACACTGGAGGGGATGTGGGGTGCTGACACAGGGGACGTGGGGTGCTGGACACAGGCGGGACGTGGGTGTTGACACAGGCGGGGACGTGGGGGGTGGACACAGGGGGACGTGGGGGTGTTGACACAGGCGGGGGACGTGTGGTGTTGACACAGGCGACGTGTGTGACACAGGCGGGGACGTGTAGTTGACACAGGAGGGGGACGTGTGGGTGCTGGCACAGGAGGGGACGTGTGGGAAGGACACAGGAGGGACGTGTGGGTGTTGACACAGGCGGACGTGGGTATTGGCACAGGCGGGGGACGTGTAGGTGTGACACAGGCGGGGGACGTGGGGTGTTGCGGCGGGGACGTGGGGTGTTGACACAGGAGGGGACGTAGGTGTTGACAGGGGGGACGTGGGGATTGACACAGGCGGGGGACGGTGGTGTTGGACACAGGCGGGGGACGTGGTGTTGACACAGGGGACGTGGGGTGTTGACACAGGAGGGGGACACAGGGGGACGTGTGGGGTGTTGGACACAGGGGGGGACGTGTGGGTGTTGACACAGGCGGGGACGTGTGGGTGTTGACACAGGCGGGGGACGTGTGGGTGTTGACACAGGCGGGGACGTGGTGTGGATCGGGGACGTGGGAGGACACAGGCGGGACGGGTGTTGACAGGCGGGGGACGTGGTGTTGGCACAGGAGGGGGACGTGACACAGGCGGGGACGTGGGGAAGGAAGGAGGGGACGTGTGGGGTGTTGACACAGGAGGACGTGTGGGTGTTGACACAGGCGGGGGACGTGGGGGGACATAGGTGGGGGACGTGTGGGGTGTTGACACAGGCGGGACGTGTGGGGGTAGACACAGGAGGGGACGTGTGGGTGTTGACACAGGTGGGGACGTGGGGTGTTGACACAGAGGGGGGACGTGGGGTGTTGACGGGCGGGGACGGTGGGGTGTTGACACAGGAGGACGTGTGGGGTGTTGACACAGGCGGGGGACGTGGGGTGTTGACAGGCGGGGACGTGGGGTGTTGACACAGGCGGGGACGGTGGGGTGACAAGGAGGGGACGTGGGGTGCTGGAGGGGACGTGGGGTGTGACACAGGCGGACGTGTGGGGTTTGACACAGGCGGGACGTGTGGGTGTTGACAGAGGGGGACGTGTGGGTGTTGACACAGAGGAGGGACGGAGTGTAGGTGTTGACACAACGGGGGACGTGGGGTGTTGACACAGGTGGGGACGTGTGGGGTGCTGACAGGCGGGGACGTGTGGGGTATTGACACAGGCGGGGACGTAGGGGGTGTTGGACACAGGAGGGGGATGTGGGGTGTTGACACAGGCAGACGGGGGTATTGCACAGGCGGGGTGACGGGGGACGTGGGGGTACACAGGTGGGGACGTGTGGGGTGTTGGACACAGGAGGGGACGTGTGGGGTGTTGACACAGGCGGGGACGTGTGGGGTGTTGACAAGGGGGACGTGTGGGGTGTTGACACAGAGGGGGGATGTGGGTGCTGACACAGGCGGGACGTGGGTGTTGACAGGGTGGGACGTGTGGGAGTTGGACAGGGGGACGTGGGAAGTGACACAGGCGGGGGACGTGGGGTGTTGAACAGGAGGGGGGTGTGGGGTAGGACACAGAGGGGGACGTGGGGTGTTGGACAGGGGGGGACGTGTGGGTGTTGAACAGGAACGACACAGGGGGGACGTTTGAAAGCGGGGACGTAGGGTGTTGACACAGGAGGGGACGTGGGGGTGTTGATGGGAGGGGACGGGGTGTTGACACAGGCGGGGGGACGTGTGGGTGTTGATACAGAGGGGACGTGGGGTGTTGATACAGGAGGGGACGTGTGTGTTGATGGCGGGGACACAAGGCATGGGGTTGATACAGGCGGGGACGTGGGGTGTTGACACAGGAGGGGACGTGTGGGGTGTTGACACAGGCGGGGACGTGTGGGTGTTGGACACAGGTGGGGGACGTGGGGTATTGACACAGGCGGGGGACGTAGGGTGTTGACAAGGACGGGGAGTGTGGGAAGTTGACAGATGCCTCACATGCAGCATCTCCTCAGCGCCTCCCAGACCTCCTCCTCCTCGGAAATCATAACACTACAGCCTACAGCTCAGCTACATTCTCTCACTTATTCTCTCCTGCTCATAAAAGGCTTTGAACAACCTAACTTTCACAATAACCACTGCAACACGGCCAGAAACTATGAAAAATACTGCAACACTGCAACGCGCGGAATGCCTCAGGTAAACAGAATTAATAAGTACGTCTCATTATAATCCCAACGTAATACTGGAAACCATTTGTCAACAGAGGCGAAATGAGCAGTTACTATTTACCTGTGTCTACCTGTGTGCTAGTGTTCAGAGAGAAGAATTAAAGGATGGTGTGTTAGTAATGCGAGGAGAAGAGACCCATGATGTAGAATGAAAGGCCATTGGCTTATAGATGCTCAGATATTGGACTCCAGTGTTTTACAAAATTTTGAGTATATCATTTTTTTTCTCCTATTAAACGAACCGCAAAGTCTATATCGTCTTGTGGCCCTGAGTTTCCCCCAGACTGTATGGCGTGGGCCATTACTTCAGGGAGCCGCAACCTTAAACGATCACCAGCTGACACCATAGTCTAAGGAGAGGGGGAAGGTTTGAAGTTTTGGAGTAATGGGGAAGGAGTGAGGAGGATATCGAGAACCAGGGAGGGGTGGGGGAGAGGTGTGGGTTCGGGGGGTAATGGGGAAGGAGTGAGGGGAGGATATCGAGAACAGGGAGGGGTGGGGGGAGAGGTGGGTCTGTGGGGTAATGGGACAGGGTGGAACTCTGAGGTTTAGAGATGTGTGGTGGGGGGAGGGTTGGTGAGATGATGGGGGAAGAGGGAGGGACCGAGAGTGAAGGGGAGGGGAGAAGGGGAGTGAGGGAGGAAGGGTGGGGACCAGAAAGAGGGAGGATTGAGCAATATAAGTCTAAAAATATTCTCTCTCTCTATTCTGAAGGCCGTCCCGACGTCTCTCCAGGCAAGAGTCGCACATTATATGAAAGATCCCACACTGGTAGCTAAGTCAACACCACCTACCACTACCACCACCCACCAACATCACCTACTATCACCACCACCACCACCACCACCACAACTACTACTACTACTACCACCACCATCACCCACCACCACTCACCATCACCCACCACCACCACCATCACCCACCACCACCAATCACCCACCACCACTACCATCACCCACCACCACTACCATCACCCACCACCACTACCATCACCCACCACCACCACCTACCACCACCATCACCGCAGGTAACAGTAACAGAGCAACAGCTGCGCCAGAAACGACTCACACAAACACTCATACATAACCACCACCACCACCAGTAGCGTCGCCGGCAGCAGGAAGCATATCAGCAGACACGACTCCCACAACCACTCATACATAAACACCAGCACCACCAGCAGCGTCGCCGGCAGCAGGAGCAGAGCAGAAGGAGGCCCGGCATGAGAAAATACGGACACCCCCCCCACAAGGCCTGGTGCCCGCGGCTCAGTAAGACCTCACTCACGTCTGCTCTCTCTTGCTGCCACCGAGACCTTGTTCCTGGCCGAGTGAGAGAGAGAGACGACTCCATCAGGACGAAAGCGAGAGACAGTCTTCTTCTTAGGAGGGGAGACAAGAGGGAGAGACAAGAGAGACAGTTTTTTTCTGTGAGGAGACAGAGGAGAGAGACAGTCTTTTTACTGTGAGAAGACAAGAGATAATAAGATAGAGAAGACAAGAGACAGAGAGAGAGTTTTAAAGAAAGGGAGAGTCTTAAAATGTAGGAGGGCGGAGAGAAGGAAGACTCATCACTGGTCTTAGCTAGATGGAGTCATCAAGGAACACGAGGGAGGCAGCTGAATAATTAAAGACCTTAGCGAGAGGGACGACTTAGCTAGATGGAGTTCTGTCCTAGCGCTTGTTACACGTTTCAATTAGAGGGAATGTTTTCATTTAACGAGAGGGAAAACGAAAGAGCCATTGTCCAGAGAGAGTCAACATGAGGGAGCAGAAAGGCCTCTAGTCAACAAGGTGACGGAGAGGCCCGGTAGGTGGCCTGAGCTACTCTTCCATCACAATAATATCTCTCCGTCCCTCCCTCTCCGTCCCTCCCTCCCTCCCCTCCGACAGTCTCTTTCTCTCCTCCTTTCCTCCCTTCCTGTATATCTTATCCCCACTCTCCCTTACTCACTACTACACCCTTCCACCCCTTTCCCTTCCCTACCTCCCGTACTTCTCCTCCTCAGTTCTTTCCCTCACTCTCCCTCTATCCTTCACCCTTCCTCGCCTATCTCCTTCCTTCTGCCTTCCCCTCCTTCCATCTTCCTCCTCCTTCCGTCATCGTTCCATTTACACCATCCTCCCTCCACACCCCTCCCTCCACACCCCTCTTCCCTCCACCCACACCCTCTAACCCTCCACACCCTCTTCCCTCCCTCCACATCCCCTCCCCCTCCACCCACACCCTCCCTCTCTCCCTCCACACCCTCCTCCCTCCCTCCACACCCCTCCTCCCTCCCTCCTTCACACCCTCCCTCCCTCCTACCTCCCTCCATCATCACAAAAACGTCCACAATAAATACTACATTTTCTATTCCATTGATCCCCTGTACTTAATCTGTCTTTGCTATGCCTACTTTATCAAATTCTCTCCTCTCTCTCTCTACCACTATCTCAATTTTATTCTCTCATCGTCTCACGTCTCTACCTGACCTCCTTTTTTCTTTCTCACTCTCTGTCTCTCTTTTCTCTCTCACTGTCTCACCTATTCCATTAATAACAGTCTACGGGTCTCTTCCTCCCTGAGTTTCCTGTCTCCTCCATCATCGCTGTTTCTCCTCACCACCTCTCTACACTTCCTCTTCTCCTTCATTACCGCTTTCTCTCCACACAAAATACACGTCCTGCCGACCTCTTCTTCCCCCCTTCTTCTTCCTTCTCTTACTCCTTCTCCTCTTCCTCCTCCTCCTTCTAAATAACCACGATGTATTTTTTCCTTTATTTTTTACTTTATTTGTTATTTCTTATTCTTTTCGCTCTTTTACATACATACATACATACATACATACATACATATACATACATACAAATACATACATATACATACATACATACATACATACATACATACATACATACATACATACATACATACATACATACTTACATACATCATACATACACATACATACATACAAACAAAATTATCATTCAATTTGAAACTCACAAACCCAAACAATAAACAAACAGTGATCACTAGTACGTTATTTGGACTAATAACCAGGTCACTGTAACATATTGGTGACTCCTACAAAAGGTCAAAGGTCAGGGGTCGTTTATATCATATTAATGGGTTAAATGTGAACTTGATCTAGCTTCTTCTTTTTATAACTGATTCCCGTTTTCTTTTTTATCAACAACAAGAGAGGGGTAACTATGGGAGATGAGGAAGAGGCGAATTGCGTGTAGTAAATCTTCCTTGATGGTGTGGTTTTATTCATTGTCCATCTCTCTCTCTCTCTCTATCTGTCTGTTTCTCTCTTTCTTTATCTCTCTATTTGTGTCTCCTTTTTTCTTTATTTATCGCTTAGTCTCTCTCTCTCTCTCTCTCTGACCATCATGGCGGCAGGTCGTCCATAATTAACGCTCATCTCTGTCACCATCGACCATTAACCTTTCATCTTCCTCTTTCATTATGTTTTTATTCTCCTTTACGACGCCATCTCCTCCTGTTCCTCCCCTTCCTTCCCTCCGTCTCACCCTTCCTTCCTCTCCTCTCCTTCCCCTCTTACCATCATCATAGCTCATCCCCCTCATTAAACTGGGATATTTTTCTCATAAACTATACATTTCAGGAGTTTCAGAACCTGAGAGAGATTTCATTAAGTCTATGAAAATATCTCCCTAAGTCAGCAGAGTTATCAAGTGAAAAATATTTCCCTAAGTCAAGAGTTATCAAGTGAAAAATATCTTCCCAAATTTCTCTGTTTTTGAGAATTTATGAAAATATATATCATAAATTTTATATTATTGTTTAAAGGTAGTGAAAAATATCTTGCCAAATTCTGTCTTTAAAAAATATTAGTGAAATATACACCTCAAGTTTTTTTTACTGTTTACAAGAGTTTTAAGTGAAGTAGATCTCTTAAATCTATATATTTTATCAAATTTCTGAATGTTTTATAAATATCTTTCACCTTCGTCAGAGAGAGAGAGAGAGAGAGAGAGAGAGAGAGAGTAACGACTGGGAGCCAATTAACTCACACCACCTGACAATACCTGTTACCATCACTTAATTAGCGTTTTATCAACAAGCTAACAAGGTAATTCAGCCGTTAACTTTGGCTCCTTTCCCAACAACATACTCTAATTGGCTCTCCTGTTCACCAAGGTCTACCCTAACTACTCCTAACAAGGTAATTAGAGGCCTCAATAACGACTCAAAATGACCTCTGCAAATAAACTAATTACCTTTGAATCACCTTCGGTTTTCCTGGGTCATTAGTCCTTATGAATATATATTTACCATCTGGCAACTCTAACAGCCATGACGTCAAGAGAAGGCGATGACGTCAGAGGTCGATGACGTGTCAATGGTTTTAACAAATGACGTCAGTAAGGAGATGACGTCAACAGTGATGACATCAAATAAGAGCAAAAAGATGTCAATAAAGGCGATATTGTCACTGAGACTTCCTCCTCCTCCTCCTCTTACTCTTCCTCCTCTCCTCTATTAGTACCTCCTAATCTTCTTCCTCCTCCTCCACCATTACCACCTCTTCCTACTCCTCCTCTTCCTCCTCTTCCTACTCCTCCTCCTTCTTTTCCTACTCCTCCTCTTCCTACTCCTCCTCTTCCTACTCCTCCTCCTCCTTCTCTTCCTACTCCTCCTCTTCCTACTCCTCCTCCTTCACTCGTCGC